CCCCCCCCCCCCGGGCACCACCCCAAAAAAAAAAAGGGGCAAAAAGGGGCCCCCCCGGTTGTTCCCCCCTTCCCCTTTTTCCCCCTGCAAAGGGGCCCCGGGGGGGGGAAAAGCGGTTTTTAGCCCCCCCCCCCCCCCCCCCCCCCCCGCCCCCGCCCTCCCCCTCCCTCGTGACGAGGTTGGCGTTGCTCGCTGACGCTCTCTCCCCAAAGGCAACAATGTCTGGGCGGGGTGGGGAGTGCCTGCGGAATGGCTGGGGAGTGTCTGAGCGGGAGTGGCTCGAGGTGTCTGCGGGGAGGTATTTGCGGGGCGGGCCTCGCCTCAGGCTCGCGCATCAGGTGCGGGTTCTTGTTGAGGCTGCGCGGCTGGTTGAGCTGCCTACCCCGCACGGGAGAGAAGGGTCGGGGACACGCGTAGCAAAGGCGGGGGGGCTGCGAAGGAAGTCGGGGCTGCCGCTTCGCGCGAACGAGGCAGGAGGAGTTGCACTGCTGCAGCATGAAGGCCGCGTTGGCCTCGCACTCGCCGCTGTTTGCCCAGCTCGCGCAGTCCTTGTCGAGGTCGAGGTACGACGGCAGCTCGCACGCGGCGCCGCACGCCGAAAACATGTACTGCGGGTTGCGGATGCACTCGCCCGCCCTCGCCCACCCCTCGCAGTCGCTCGTCCCAGAGTGCGCCCGCTCTCGCCGCAGCCCGGCCAGCCGCTTCTTCTCGGCGAGCCTCGCCTGCAGCTCCGCCTTGTGGGCCGCGCTCGCGCCGCCCCCCTCCCTGCGCGCCTGCGCCTCCACCTCCGCCTCATAGTCGTAAGAGTCGTCGTCGTCGTCCTCATCGCGCTCCGCCGCGGGCGCCGGCTTCTGCATCTCCCCTGGCTTGGGCACCCTCGCCGCCGCCGCGGCCGCCGCCGGGTCGACTCCAGTCTGCTTGACCTTCCCCGTCGGGTTGCTCCTCGAGACGGGCTTCGGGGTCGCGGCGGGCTTTGCGGCCTCGGCAGGCTTTGCGGCCGCGGCGGCGCCCTGCGGCTGTGGCTTTGCCGCCGCCGGAACGCCTTGCGCCGCCTGCGCCTTTGGCGCCGCCTGCGCTGGCACCGCCTGCGCCTTTGGTGCCGCCTGCGCTGGCACCGCCTGCGCCTTTGGCGCCGCCTGCGCTGCCGGCACAGCCTTCGCCGCCGGAGCTGCCTGCGCCGCCGGAGCAGCTTTCGCCGCTGGCGCAGCCTGCGCTGCCGGTTTCGCCGCCGGCACAGCCTTCGCCGCCGCCGCCGGAGCCGCCTGCGCCGCCGGAGCAGCTTTCGCCGCCGCCGCCGGAGCCGCCTGCGCCGCCGGAGCAGCTTTCGCCGCTGGCGCAGCCTGCGCTGCCGGTTTCGCCGCCGGCGCAGCCTTCGCCGCCTGCGCCGCCGGGGCCGCTTTCGCCGCCGGAGCCACCTGCGCCGCTGGAGCAGCTTTCGCCGCCTGCGCCGCCGGCACAGGGGCCTTTGCTGCCGGAGCCGCCTGTGCCGCCGGTGCAGCCTTAGCCGCGGGTGCTGGCTGCGCCTTTGGAGCCGCCTGCGCGGCCGCTGGCACGCCCTGCGCCGTTAGCAGGGGAAAACACGCGAGGAGCAGCAGGCACGGGCTCCGCGACATTATCAACAACTACTGCCTGAGACTTGAAGAAAGAAAAACACTAATCTGAGCTGATGACTGCACTCCAAGTGCTCCAAGTAATGCGGGACGGCACACAGGCATCCCTCCCTTGGGTTGTTTGTTGCGCACTGTGCCTCTGTGTTCGTGCGTCGCCCATCTCTCCTGGAGATGTCAGATGACTGCTCTATTGATTACTTTGTTTATTTATGTATTGGCACACAGGGTGTCACAGGGTGCCAGCACACGTGGGAATAGGCTGCAACGCATACGCCGACGCGGTGGCGACAGCATACCTCGGAAATGACGACACGGAGGACGCCTCGAAAGTGGTGCGGGACGCGGTGTGAACTCGGCCATGCATTGTACACGGTACGGGTGCGAACGGAGGCGGCAGAGGACACAGAGAAGAGGGAGATAGTGGACCGACGGACGTACGGACACATGTGTAAGAGCGCGCACGAGTGGGTGTGCGAACAATATCGAAAGACGGTGAGGCCGGGATCGCACACGGCAGGGGTGGCGGGACGGCTGTGGAGCGAAGTGGCCGTAGCCAGCCTCAAACATCGATGGGACAATAAGATGAGATTGCCAGATGAGAATGGGGGAAAGGACAGACGAGCGACATTTGACGACGTCGGGGGTCACACAATGTGACGACCAAAACGATCTTGGGAGCCAGGGTGAGACAGCAGGCCGGGGTGCCACACGGGGCACACCACAGGCGGTATTCTAGAGGGGGAAAAGAAACGGGGAATGAGGGGCCCCGCCACGAGGAGCGCGTTCTGGGGTTGCAGAGCGTGCAAATCGGCTAGGGATGAGGCCGCAAAACAGGCGCGCGAGGCAAGGAGGAGAATCGGAGAACGGAGAGACTGGGACGACTGGACACAAAAAGACAGTGAGCCACCACAGGCGTTGTTGGCGCACCTTGAGCGGCAAATGCGCTGGGAATAAGGAAGAGGCGCGTTACTTCATGCGGAAGCTTGACAAACACACGGCGAGGGCGGCAGCAAGAGTCGAACGGGCGGCGCCTGACTCAAAAGACACGGCGACATTCTTGAGACGCGCGAGGCCAGCCTCCTTAAAGGCAATGGGGTCTAGATTTGGAGCGCTCGCCGAAGAGGAGTACGACAAAATAGCGCCCGTGATTGCCTGCACGCTGCCCGCACTCACGGACTCCATACCCGAAAGAAAGAGAGGGGAGCTCGCAGGAGAGGTGACGAGGGAACTGCAGGTAGTGGGGAAGGCAGCCTCGATTGCCATACAGACATGGGCGCGAAACAACGACAAGACCAAGGCACGGGCAGAGGAGCGAGAGAAGAACATAGGATGGTAGGGCGCCTGTTCACGGCATGGAGGGTGAGCCACGCCGAACGTACTGAACGTAGAGCCGAACCGGGGGAAGCCGGGGAAGACGACCCCGAGGAGGACGAAACACCTGTGGTAATCCCGTCGTCAGCTGTCACGATGCGCCCGAAGGGGACCCCAGCGCCAACATCATCGGTGGAGGTGCAAGTGTTCGAAGAGAGAGTGGACCTGAGCAACGATATGACTTGGCGGCAAATGATCGCAGTGGCGTCAGAAGAGTCGTCCTTGCGCGAGGAGAGCTTGATAAACTCGAGGGGCCAAAATATGCCGCGAGGAGGGGGGCAGAGCTGCGCCGAGCAGCGAGAGCAAGGGAGCGGCAGGCGGCGGCACCGTCCAAGGCGTGCGCCACCGTCCAAGGCGTGCGCCATGCACTCGCCGTTATCGAGCGTCCGAGCAAGCTCTGCCCGACGAGCGGCTTGCTGTGCGGACGCCTTCTTGTGGCTCTCGTCGAGAGCGTTTTGCGTCCCGGCGGGTTGAGAGAAGATGTGTCGTCTGATGTGTCACTGTGTACGTCATATCAGTCTTGATAACAAGCACGGTCGATCCGTCAAAGCGATACACTCGTTCCTATCACGTTGGAGGGCTGGCACAAGATCACGTCCCCTGCTGTGCCTTTGTGAGTCCGAAGAGGCGTAGAATTCTCTTTGTCTTTCAGCCAGTGTCCTTGGGTTTCTTGAAGGACGTCGACGTGCAGCTGCTGCTGTTCGAATCGTTCGGCGGGTTCGGGAAGGGGGTCGGCGAGATCCTCTGGAAGGCGGCGAACGTGCTGCAGAACAAGCTGACGCGGGCCCAGTACCTCGATGAGGTGACTTGGACCACCAAGAATTGGCTGGGGCTGCAGAAGCAGCGTGTATCTCGGTCGTTCTTCACACGGCAATCGCAGAGCAGATTGTGAATGAGCTTGCCTGTGGCGGGGGCGGGTGAGTGCACGGAGCTAAGTGCCTCGCCGCCCTCGCAGGAGTCGCTTAGGCGGCTCCCGTGGTGTACCTGTATTAGTGCCAGTGCGCGCCAGTCCCGTGCCCCGTGAGAGAGAGATTTTTAGCAATACCAAACAAATCTAACACTCACACGTGTCGTGCGAGAGAGCTTTGAAAAAATCGTCTTGTCCTTTCGCCTGCGGAAGCGTTCAGGGCTCCCTAGATGTCCCCGCCGGTCTCAGCTCGATTAGAGGCACAGTGCACAGCGCAGTTGGCTCGGTGAGATTCTTTTTTCATTGCTGATTGGATTCCGCCTCCTTTCGTGCCTCCCTTGCAATGGTGAAGATTCCCGCCGTCCCCAAGCCGTCAAAGACGTACGTCGCCGGGCAGCGTGAGAAGAATCAGAAGGCCACGCCCCCGAGCCGGCCGGTTCGCGTGGTTGAGGCGGAGGAGGTTGAAAACGTCCGCGCGGAGCTCGTCAAGGTTCCCGAGAATTGCCTCGAGATGCAGCCGGTGGTCACCGCCGCCGCGGCTCCGCTGGCCGACGGCCTTGGCCCGGTGGTGAAGGAGGCCTTCGGCCCCGGCGCCAAGGTCAAGCAGATGCGGCTCAAGTCAGGCGTGCGCACCGAAGAGGCCAAGAAGTCGGAAGACAACATCATGAAGCTCATCGAGCTGATCACGCAAGGCGGCAGCTTCGACTACACGTTCGAGGAGGACCTGTCGATCCCAATTGACGGGAACGAGCAGATCGACAACATCGTCGTCGAGGCGGGCACGTCCATCGCGATCGCCGTCGAGTCTACGCCCATCAAGCAGAAGGTCCCGATCCTCGGGACCGTCACAGTCGGGTACCAGTTCGTCATCACCTGCCCTCTCGTGGCGAAGCTGTCCCTCGACTTTGCCGATGGCGCGGAGATCCAGGTGCCATTCAGCTCCCTCGGCTGCTGCACGGACTGGTGCGCCTCCTGCAAGGAGAAGCCGCCTTCGGCTTGCTGCGAGTCGGGCGGTTGCTGCGTCAAGGGCGGCGAATGCGCGTGCTGGACCGAGCCGTATCTTGTCCTGAGGCCGCGCACGCTCGAGCTCGACGTTCCGCTCACGCTGTCGCTCAACGACTCCATCATGATCTCCGACATCCCCGCCATCATCTCCGACCCTTCCAAGCTCCTCAAGACGCTCGTGATTGCGGTGACGGAGCGGCCCTACATCAAGGCCAAGGCCGCGCTGCGTTGCTGCCGCGACTGGGTCTGCTTCCCGTTCATGCAGCTGTTTTCGCTCTGCGCCAACACGTGCCTCCTCCCGTGCGTGCTCCGCGGCCTCTCGAAGCGCCTCGTGGGCATGACATTCGGGCCGGGAGCTGACAAGGAGGCGAGGAAGCGCGCGCGCCCGGAAGCGACTCGATAGATAGACGACCGATCTCTCCGACTATAGGCATGACCCGTGGACGTGGCCGAACGAGCGGCCCGGTATCGCCGAGATGCCGTCCTGCGCCCTCAGTCTGCTAGACTGACTGCTAGGGACGGGCACCTATACGCGGTTTTGCGGCCACACACGCGTCGAGGTTGAACGCGCGCAGGGTGTCACGTGAGACTTGCGCTCTCGCCGCGCTGTGGTCGGCGCGCGCCGCGCCGTTCCGGCCGACGCAGACGCGTTAGTTTGTTGTGAGAGCAGATTGTGAATGAGCTTGCCTGTGGCGGGGGCGGGCGAGTGCACGGAGCTAAGTGCCTCGCCGCCCTCGCGGGAGTCGCAGGCGGTGTTAATGCCAGTGCGCGCCAGTCCCGTGCATCGCGTCGTGCGAGCTGGTCAAATTCTTTTTCGCTCCCGTGAGATAAAATATATTCATTCAAAAGCGCCGTCCGCCGTGCCAAGGGGGAGGGTCGGGAGGGAGCGTCGCCCTTCGAGGTTCGAGCCGCAAGCCGCATCCCGTCGGCACTGTCCCTGAGTGCGTCCCGCCTTGGCGGCATACACTCGACGAGGACAGTCCGGCCGACGGTGTCGCGCGCCGGCGACGGAGCGGCGGGGTGCCGGCCTAAGCAAAAGAAATACCCGGAGCAAACGCCGCCATCACTTCGGTGCTCACTCATCCCCCCCGCCCCGGGCACTCAAAGGGCGCGCCGATGGCGGACCCCGCGCAGCTGCTGCTGCGCATCGAGGCGCTCGAGCGACGTCTCAACACGCCGCCGCCGCCGGCTCCGCCTGGCTCGTCCTTTGCGTACGTCCCTGCTTCGACGGGCGACTCGTTTTTCCTGCTGTGCTCTGGGCTCATGGTGTTCTTCATGCAGGCGTGCCGCCTCCTCTCGTCGAGCTTGCCGGCCGTTGTTCGCCACCCGAACCCTCCCACCCAGTTCGCTTCCCCACACTGTATGTTTTGCGCAGTGGCGCACCGCACTGCTCACGGCGACAGACGCCGGCGCTGTGCACCCACTCTCGCCCCCCGACCCCGTTTGCGGGCGGCCGCGTGTGACTCGACCGCCCCGCCCCCGCAGTGCGGCTTCGGCATGCTCGAGTCCGGGTCGGTCACCTCCCGCTCGACTCAAGCCATCCTGCTCAAGTGCGCACACGCACGCCCTCTCCTCCCTCTCCCTCCCTCTCCTCCTCTCTCCCCCGCCCGCGACCCGCGCCGCGTGGGCGGCCGCGTCGCGCGCCGACGCCGCCCCCTCCCCTCTTCCCCCCCTCCCCCCCTCCAGGAACCTCCTCGACGCTTGCATCTCCGGCCTGCAGCTGCCGCAGAGCCGGCGGCGCTGGTGTGAAGGGCGCCTGTTCACGGGCAGGCGCGTGAGCAGGCCTGCTGTGGTGGATGGTGGGGCACGCCGTCGCATTCGACGGCGGCAACGGCTTCATCGGCGGCGAGGTCGGCTTCTCCCCCTCCTCCTTCTTCACGGCCGGCTACAGGAATGCGGACGACCCGGGGCGCGCAGTCCCCCCGTCTTGTGGCCCGGCGGCCCCCCCCCGCCAGTAGTGGACCGTCGTCACCTGTGGCTGAGGAGGAATGAGTAGGTACAGCTATTTGCTCTGGTGGTTCCAGTGGACCTTCGCCGCCGCCGCAGCAACCATCGTCTCCGGCGCGGTGGCGGAGCGGACGCACTTGCTCGCCTACCTCTCCTACACGGTGGAACAGCTGCAGTGCAGCACCGCAGCAGTGTAGCACCGCCTCCTCCGCCCCCCCCCCTCCAGCTCCGAGCCTGAGCCCGCCTCCCGCCCTCACTCTCCCCTCCACACGCGGCGCTGCGACGCGGCGCCAGGTCCTCCCCAGGTCCTCCCCGCCCTCCCCGCTCCCCTTCTTGATCGCGGGCTGGTGAGGTGTGGCGCAGGTGCTCATCACCATCCTCATCTACCCGGTCATCGTGCACTGGGTCTGGTCCGCCGAGGGCTGGCTCTCCGCCTCCAACGCGGACGCCTTCCAGGGCGGCGTGATCGACTTCGCCGGTCCAGACGTGTCCAGCCCGACGGGACGCGTCCACGACACGTCCCCTGACCCGCGGCGCTGTGCGGCTGCAGGCTCCGGCGTCGTCCACCTGACCGGAGGCACCGCCGGGCTGTGCGGGGCGGTCATCATCGGCCCTCGCAACGGCCGCTTCCAAAAGCTTCCCGAGGGCGGTCTCGGCGTCCCGCTGCCGATGCCTGGCGCTCCCCCCCCCCCCCCCCCCGGGCTCGCCTGGCCACGCATCGGGCGAGAGAGTGT